TATCCAAACTATAATGAGAAACGAAAGTCAAAGATTGAGACCAGAAGGCAGTTTTGCGCACATCTTCCAAGGGCACACCATTGAGAAAGGCTGAAGAAGCAGCTACCGCTCTCATAGAATGGGCTCAAATTCAAGTAGGTGGAGCCTTCCCAGCCATCTCATGAGCAAGTTGAATAACAGCAAACTACCGTCTTCAAAAACCTCTGAGATGAAATGGGTTGCCCCAGTCTCTAATTCGAGTAGCAAAGAGCCTGTTGGATTATCTAGAATTTGAAGTTCTGTCCACATAGAATGCCAAGGCTCATCAAACACTGAGCAAATGTAAAGCTCAATCTGCATCAAAAATTGGATTCTGTATGAAGGTAGGTAATGCAATGTCTTGGTTCAAATGAAAGAAAGAAACAACTTTTGGTAAAAAAAAAAAAAAAAGGTTATGTCTAGTTGCAGAACCATCTTGTCTCAAAGATTGGTCCACTCAAAGTGTGCAGAGCTCTCCAGCCCTCCTGGCAGAAGTAATCACAACCAGAGGCACCATCCCCAAGTAAGTAATTTCAGGTCTGCTCAAGCCATCAGTTTAAATAGTCTGGACAATTTGAGAAAGAACCAGGTCCAGGCTCAATGCCGGTGTCGATCTCGACATAAGGGGACGAAGGTTCTTGAATCCTTTCCAACATCCTTTTTAATGAGAGGATGTTGAAAAAACACCTTGAATTGAACTTGTGAGGAGATGACCAGACAATCTACAAGAATGTCCTCAGACAAAAGGAGTTTCATTCCCAGAAGGAAACTTCCTCTGTCTGTTGTATGCAAGCAATCACCAGATCCATCACCCACCATCACACTTCTTGGTGAAGGGATTATGCTGATTCTGATCTTGGGCAATCCCATCATATCCAAGTGCCTTGGTTTCCCCCATGGTGAGCCATCCAGATCTCCCAATATGATATGGCTGGTTTCCTGTGCTGTGGTGCCTCCTTTTGGCTACCTGCCTGAAACGTTTTTTAAATATCTATTTGATATCAAATGTCAAAGAGGGATGACCAAGGGCTGGATCCTGGGATAACATTAAGGAAACCCTATAAAATTCATGAGGTTGCCATAAGTCAACAGGCAACCTGAAGGCACATGCACAAACACACACAGTGCCAATGTTTAGGTGCTTGTTTAAAAGTCTTGCTTTCAGCACACAACCACCACCTCCACTTTAAGGGTTAATATGCTGAGGCAAAAAGAAGAGAGTCTTGCACTGCTGCAGCCCACTTCACCAAATACAAATTTGTTGCAGTCCGAGCTCTGGCTAAATAAAACTTGTTGCTATCAAGTCAACTTGAACGTACGGTGACTCTATGAATGAGAGCCCCCCAAGCCACCTTATTATCAACAGGCCTGCTCAGGTCTTGCAGAGTCAGGGCTGTGGCTTCATTTACTAGTCCATCCATCTGGAATGCAGTCTTTCTCTTTGCCTCCTGCCTTCTACCTTACCAAACAGTATTGTCATTTTTTTCTAGTGAGTCATCATGTGTTCTCATGAAAGTACAACAGTCTCAAGTAAGGCTGAATATGCAAGTCAGAAATATTGCAGTTTCACACTGCTTTAACTGTCATGGCTCAATGTGATGGCATTCTGGGATTTGTAGTTTGTTATGGCACCAGAGTTCTCTGTCGGAGAAGGATGTATATCTCACAAAATTACAAATCCTAGAATTTCATACCATTGATCCATGGCAGTTAAAACAGTGTCAAACTGCATCATTTCTGCAGTGCAGATGCAGCCATAGTCATCTTGGCTTCTAAGGACAGTTTAGGCTTGATTGGAATCACAAATAAAGAAGGAAGGAAGAACCAGCTGATGATAAAAAATTTCAGGGATGTGAACGACCAAACTAGGATTGCAAGTGAAATAAGTGACTGGCCTCCTATGCCTTTAATAGTTGTGTGAAAGGGGGAATTTCAGCAGATGTTGCTAAATGTGGCAGGCATAAACTATATTCTGCAGAAGGGCTGTGTGATTTTGGGTGATAGCTTTAGCTGAAAAACCTTCTGTGGAGTAGAATCTGAAAATTTTAAAACTGCATAAATCGCTTTTTTTCAGAATCACAATATTGTTATTTTTTATTTTTATTTTTTTCATTTTCGACAGAATGGCTGTTTGCTTTCCTGAGTTGGTTTGGATAACTCTTGGCTTCCATTAATTAACAAGAGGACTTGGGCTTAGGGAATTGGTCATTCTGGAAAACAGATTGGCAAAAAGTATCCGACACCAAAAAAAAGAGGGGGGTGTTCTCTTGGGAAACCTTTGAAAACAAAAGCTCAGATTCCAGGGCAAGTAAAAAGTCCTTCCGCCTTGCTGGTGAAAGCTTGCTGCCCATATTATTCCCACAGGCAGGATATACCCTGCATTTCACCTCCTCTTAAATGCATTAGGAATGGTATTGGGTTTCACATGAAGTATTTCTACCAGTGCTTCTGTTTACACCATTATGAAATTAAAGCATCTCCTTTCTCTTCATTTCCATTGCCGTCTACATAGCTGCCTCTGCCTCTTCTCTCTGAATAGGAACCGCCATACCACCTGGAAACAGGACTTAAAATATTCATATTTCCCTATGTTGCATCTATTAAGCCTTCTGAAAATTTCCAGAGATAGAAAGACAACGTAAAAGCTAATCCATTTATTGTGGCAGCTTTTATTGTAAGAGGCTATACAGATGAGTGGGCCTAAATACCCTAAAGAGAAAAGATTCCATCTGATCTTAGGAGTTAACAGGCTCAGCCCCTGTTAGTATTTGGATGGGAGACCGCCAACGAATACCAGGTACTGTGGGCTATAATTGAGAAGAAGGAACTGGCAAAATCTCCTCTGCACATTCTTTGTCTAAGAAAATCCTATGAAATTGTTGGGGTCGCCATAAGTCAACAGATAACTTGAAGACACTTTTTTGTCATTGTGTGCCTTCAAGTCATTTCTGACTCATGACGACCCTAAGACAAATTTATCATATGATGCAGAACTCGCTTGTAGAATCTACAGAACAAAACAACAAAAGTGGGTCAAGACCCACTTGGAATACTGTGTCCAGTTCTGGGCACCGCGATTCAAAAAGGATGGTGAGAAACTGGAGTGTGTCCAGAGGAGGGTGACTAAAATGGTGAAGAGTCTGAAAACCAAGCTCTATGAGGAATGACTTAGGACCTTATCCCACGCTGCTCTCAAAAGTGG